CCTACAGTAGAGCAGAGCCTCCCGCGGTGTGTTCCCGCTGGCGGCTGTCTTCCGTCCTTCCCTAGGTGAGAGGGTTAGGGGCATGTTGCCAGTCACTGCTGTTTCCAGTAGGCACTAATCACCTGACAGTTCATAGCTTGGACTGGTTGTCTCTACTGCCCGCAGTTTGGCCCTAGTGATGCTTCCTCCCTCAGTAGCCCTTTGATTCACAAGCAATCAAAGGTTTCACAAGCAGTCCAGGGCAGGGCATCATGGACCTGTGCTGTCTGCCGTGGTTTCCTCTATCTTTGCTGTGCAGAGACATGGGGAGCTTGACAGCAAAGAGAAAAGGAAGAAATGAAACTCTGGAGTACTTTGCAAAGCTTTCCCTGCTGGGGAAGCAGCTTGGCAGCACTGATGTTGAGCCATGCTGTGGCACCTGCATAACCTCAGAGAAGGATCATAGCAAGCACTGACCACGCGCTGCTCCTCTTCCTGCCCAGGCTTGGAACCTGTGTCAGCGCACAGCGATAGCTGCGGGCAGCATCCGGATAACTGGTCCCAGCAGTGAGCGCTCCTGGCATGTGTGAGGATGCTGCAGCAGGTGTCGTGTGGAGAGGGACATCCTCGAGGCCCAAGCCCAGAGGGGCTGCAGGAAGGAGCACCTGAGGAATGGCTGTGGTCACCTCCAGCCCGTGGTGCCAGCAGAGAAAGGAAAACGCACGAGGTGCACACATGGCTTCTAGGCACATGCACGGCAGCCCTGGAGAAGCCACCTCACTCTCTTCCTGCCTGTGGAACATCTCTCCACTCACGTCATTGCCTGGGAGAAGATGAGGTGGCTCGTTGCTATCAGACTGCTCCGGCTGGGGCCTGGCCCTTCTCCCAGAATGGGTCTTGAAGAAGAGGTGGCTCCTGGCAAACAGGACAAAGCCTTCTCCAGCCTCCCAGGATCAGGGAAGGAAGGGCCACACCATTCCTGGTTTCCGTCCTTCCACGCTTCCATTTGTAAACGCCCAAGATATTTCTCTTCTCCTGCTCTCTGTTTTTATAGCTATGTCGGACTCTTTGTTACAGAAGAAATAAAGCTTTTGTTTTCCTTTTTTTTCAGTTTTGTAAAAGAAAACATGCACTGTGTTATAAAGCTGTTGGTGCTGTGGTCAGTGCTGCAGGCAGCGCCCTGTACGTTGTTCCTGGAGCTGACAGCCCCTTGTGCGGTGACACAGTCTGTAGCCAGCGTCTTGTGCCGTCACCAGCCCACTGAGCCCTGCTGACCGCTCAGTCCCCAATGCAGCCCGTGTATCCCTAGGGCACTGGGGGAACTGGTACCGGGTGGGATGTGCTGGTGGTGTAAGGAGGAGCTGTCATCTGCACTGGGGCTTGTGTTGTGAAAAGACCCTGTCCTCTTCCAGGAGGAACGGAGCAGCTTGTGACACGGAGGCTTTGGTGGCTGTGAAGCAGAGCTGTTGGGAAACCTGCAGAAACTGGTGCCGTCTGCCTTCCCAGCTGTGCTGTAGCAGCTGGCTGCGTGGATGCACTTACATCAAAGCACTGATTTAGGCATTCCTCAAGGGATCTCCAGTGGAATCAGTTGAGCCATTCCCAGTTATTTCTTTGAATGGCTGAGGTGTTTGTTTTCTGCTCACAGCGGCTCTGGTGTGCCCGACTCCTGGTGCTTGTTTCTGCTACTGGCCCGTCCCCAGGTTCTCTGTTGTGCTGCACATCAGAGCGGCGAAAACCCGTAACACACGTGTTTTCCTTCCCACAGTGTGCAAGTACGTGGCGGTGGAGCTGAAATCTGCTTTTGAGGAGACCGGCAAGACCAAGGAGGTGATTGACACCAAGTACGGCTTCCTGGATGGGAAGGGCTCTGCTGTCAAGTACACACAGTCGTAAGTGAGAGTGGGACGGGTGGTCTCCTGCTGCTGTTGCTGCCTGCGGTCTGCAGAGCCGGGGGCTTTGGGAGCCTGCGGGCAGGCTGCGCTGCACAGAGCTCCTCTGAGAAAACTAAACTGTGCCAGGACTGGTGGGGTGGGCAGGACAGGGCAGGTGGGGGATGCTCCTTCTGCCTGGGGGCGCCCTGGGAGCCATAGAGCGCTCCCCCATCACACCGGCTGGGCTGAGGCTCGCCCTGTGCCCCGGCTGTTCCTGGGGGGCAGTGCCGAGCCTGAGCCCTCCCTCCTCTCTGTGCAGGGACATACGGTTAATTGAGGTGACGGAGAACATCTGCAAGCGGCTGTTGGATTACAACCTGCACAAGGAGAGGAGCGGCAGTAACAGATTCGCAAAGGTGAGGACCGTCCTCCCAGTCCCCTGCTCCCTGCACCACCAGGGTGCCGAACTGGGGTTCATCCTTCTCGTCCCCTGCATGCAAGGCCGCGCTGCCCCCCAACTCAGGTGTGGAGTTCTGTCCTTAGGGAGGGGGTAGGCCCCTCTGCCCTCACCTGCGCAGAGGGAGATGAGGATTGTCGTGCCTGGCCCCTGTCTTCCTGTTGGTTTTGGGAGCAGGTCTGCAGAGGGGAACTGGCTGTCACTTGAAATTCCTCCTGGTAACGCCGATGTCCGTGGGACCCTGATTTTGGGTGGCTTGCATGTACCTGCATCCCTGGGCAGGTTCGCGTGGCCAGCGCTGGGAGGGGGGACTGGGAGCCCAGTGGGAGGAGCACCGCTTCACTGGGCAGCACTGCTCCCCCAGGGCATGTCGGAGACATTCGAGACCCTGCACAACCTCGTGCATAAGGGCGTCAAGGTGGTGATGGACATCCCCTACGAGCTGTGGAACGAGACCTCCGCTGAGGTGGCTGACCTCAAAAAGCAGGTACCTGACCTGGGGGGGATTGGCCCTCGGTGGCCACCGTGGCCTTGTGGGCTGGAGCACAGGGAGGGTCTGGGGTTGTGCTGCCAGGAAGGGGGGTGTCAGCAGGACCTGCTGCCCTGTTCCTGGTCCTGCCCTGGCAGTGCGTGGCTGGAGCTAGGCTCTCCTCTCTGTGCTAGTGCGACGTGCTGGTGGAGGAGTACGAAGATGTGATCGAGGACTGGTACAGGCACCACCAAACAGAGGATCTCTCCCAGTTTCTCTGCGCCAACCACGTGCTAAAAGGGAAGGACACAAGTAAGTTTTAGCTGCTGTAAGTCTAGGGGGAGCACAGGCTCTCCTGTGCTGGGGAGGACAGGGGAGCCCCCTCAGGGCACGGGGAGCCCCGCTTCTCCCTCAGGGCCCCCCTCTGCCCCTCTCCTCCCCAGGCTGCCTGGCAGAGAAGTGGACCGGCAAGAAGGGTGACTTGGCAAGTGTGGGGGAGAAGCAGAGTAAGAAAAAGAGTGGGAAGAAGAAGAAGAAGGTCCAGAAGGATGAGAGCGAGGGAGCTGAGGGCCTCCCAGCGGCAGGGGAGGCCCTGGAGGAGAGCGGGGTGCAGGAGGAGGCTCCCCTCACCCACAGCCCAGCCGATGAGCTGTACGC